AACAAAATTACTTATTTGGTGCTAAGATAGATCAAGTCCACTCTATATTGTTATCTACAGCGGACCTGACCTATCCCCTAACACCAAATACGTAATTTTGTTACGTCTTTTTCTTTCGTAAATGTATAATATTTTCCCACTCCACCCCTTATTACCACTCTTGTTAACTTGACTTTTGTTCAACTTTAATTTTAGCTGAGCTCTACTCAACCCTGTCGATTAGATTACGTCACTCAACTTGCTTAGCTAAACATCTCAGAAAGCCTGAGACACAGAGATCTTCAGTCCTTTTCTAGCGATACTGCCAGATTTCTAAGTCAGTTAAGACACGGAATAGACATTCAAACTGTTTTTATCATTATCAGTAAAAACAAAGAAATTTAACTCTACTTAGATTTGCCATCAAGCTACTTAAAACTAACTTTTATACATCGAAAGAAGCAGTGAATCATCTCAGTTTAACGTGGCAACAATTTTCTCATTTATATGATTATGCATTTCTAGTATTGATTTGTAGGGATTTGGTTGGTTGGTTACAGGATTTCATCATGAGCTGACATTGGTTAGAGAACCATTGGAAAACCTGGGAGTACTGGACAGCTGTTTCGTCCTAGTTTGGGACCTTTCAGCAGTACGCATGTATTTTCTCTTTCGATTTCTTTTCCTTAAGAGAATTTCAGCATTTCTGAGAACATTCTTCGCAGCAAAGCCAAGAGTAGTGTTCACCAGTTGTCCGTTGGTATGTAAAAACGTTAAAGAAAAGATCTCGCATCTAACCACTTCTTTGTGCACATTTCAGTCCACCTGTTGTTGTGGAGCCAGGTAACTTGGTCGTCCAATGCATATCCTGTCCAAAAAGGACTTGAGAAGACTATCTCGCATGGCTGAAAAAAGGTAGTAGTAGTTCTATACGGAGTGAGATCATTGAACACCATGTCAACACTAATCACTCCATCTCAACAAACGCCTCTTTCAAAGTATTCTACAGAGTCAAGAACAACCTACTGAAGGCAATACGCTTTCGTCTCCTTTGTATTGTATTGCTGAAGCTTTAGCCATTAAGTTGGAAAAACTAGAGTTTTGATTTCTTTCATCATTCTTCTAATTGATTAAAAATGCCCATTAAAATTTTCAAAAGAATGGATAGTGAACAAAGAGTAATTGAAGATGAATTAAGCATTGTATGTGATACTTTGATCGAAAATGGCTATCCTGACAAATTTATCAAGAAACACATGACAAAGAAAGAGGAAAAGGACTACTCACTATCTGTAAACAAGAAGCCAATTTATATACGACTACAATTCAAGGGTGATATACCAAGCGAGATAATTTCGAGGAGATTACAAAAATCATTTCAAAGAACTTTTAATGCTGGCGAACTACAAGTATTATTCTCTACATAACCGATGGTGCTACCTCGATTGAAAGATGAAGTACCTAGACTAGCCGGCCACTTCAAATTGTATTTACCATTTCAACTGCGCCGCCTGTGGAGCGAGCTATATTGGTCATTGCTCTAGGAACTTGATTTTTCGTGCTCACTCGAGAACATCCCCCACTATGGCTAAGTGAAGGTGTAATTAAAACCATTAACAGTTCGATACTGGGCCGTCTGGTGCAAACCGGCCACAAAGCCAGCCAGCCAGCGTTCAAGAATCCTTCTGTATAATCTACCGGGCGCCTGATAAATGGCCAAAATTATCGAAGCACCTCATGCTCCAAACAGCACAGGCTATTGTAATTCGCGTCAAACAACCAGTGCTCTGTGTTCAAAATAAGCAAATCCAGGCCGTACTACTGTCCTGGCCGGCCTACAGTAGAGACTATAAATTCATGAATTTGTAATATTATCTTTCCTAATTTACCTGTCTGACATTCAGCTTATTTTATGTTGATGCTATTGAGCTGTAACCTATCAATATTATTGATTCGATGTTATTTAAACAGCAACATTAATGTTGTTCATAACACTAATTCATTCATTCATTCACTATAATGTATATATAACTGTAGAGCCTGATGATGAAGGGGTTATCGAAAAGGGTACTCTTTTTTCAGTATCCATTCTTCTAATTATTATTACTTTTTATGACTAACTGATCTTAGCTCACATGACTGATTCTCAATCACTTCCAAAAATGCTTACTCGAGTATCTTTTTCCCTGTATGTTGCTGGGTTTCTGGTTGTTAAATCAACTAACATATAACTTCTCAAATATTCTTCCAAACTCTTAAGATAAATAATTAATTTCTTTTTGTGTTATTTGTAAATGAGTTAAACAACATTTTTACATGAAAAAATATTAAAACAATTAGTCCCTTTGATAAATTTGAATAAAGCATTTAGAATACAAATTTCGCGAGATGATATTATCATTTCGTAGTTTCTTTACATGACCTATTTAAATATGATTGGTCATTAGTATGTACTTTTGTTTCTTATTTTGACTGAGTAATTATCATGAGCTTTATTTTATTATTGTTAACCATGTTAGGTGTAAAGCGGTTGTAAAGAAACTACGAAATGATGATATCATCTCGCAAAATGTGTCTTCTAAATGCCTTACTCAAATGAAAGAATATGTTTAGAGTGAAAGCCGTTAAATAGAGGTAAATTTCACATACTTATTGTTTTTTGTGATAAGTGACTTTACGTCGGCCAGACACTCCTTAAGATTTACCAGCTCTGTACTTTTTAATGAAAGCTGAATGACTACTATTAATTCTTGTTGATCCCATCTATAAGCGTTTTAAAATGAATTCATGTCATTTCGCATGTAGGATAAACCTCACTACTAGTTTGAAACAAATATTATCATAGAAACAAAAACATACAGTTCAGAAAATAAAGTCTCCTTGATTGATGAAACTATCTTCGAAGGATGAACAGTCGTGATTATATTCAATAAAGGCCCTCACCCTCAATGAGTAGTGAGGGTCTTTGATACAGTGACGAAGAATGATAATTTACAAGTCTTAGTTTGGAGAGAATTGACTGTCTTTAATTTTGATCACGGATTGATTTCAGTTAGAAAACCATTCAGTACTTTGGGACATTTTATTAAACAAACTTGCTGAAACTCAAACTGACTGTTGGGTTGTCAAATGGTTGCATTCTTATTTCTCAGGAAGAAAGCAGTATACAGTATGTCAGGGAAAGTCGTCCACTTCGTTGCTTACTGAGGCTGATGTCCCTCAAGGCACTGTCTTTTCTCCTTTTCTGTTTTCTTTCTTCTTGCATGATTTGCTTCACTCTGATGAGATGAACTTTGTTAAGTATGCTGATGATCCAACTATTTCAACGTCTGTTAACTCCCAGCTAGACTGTGCTAAGATGAACAGCTTTCTATCAGGAATTAGCAAATAGTCTTCGTCTAACGGCCTTAAACTAAATCCTTCCAAATGTCAGACTGTTAATTTCAGTTTCCGATGTAAACGAAAGTTAAATGAAGCCGTTGGTTCCTATAACCCTTGCAAAATTGATGATACTGATATAGAAATCAAGTCTGAATTTAAGTATTTTGGATTAATTCTTTCTTCTGACCTATCCTGGTATTCCCATGTCTTAGCGATTCCTAAAAAAATATTTCGTCCCACTGAGCCATATCGTTGACATTGTCACTGATAGGCACTTGATGTTATGCAACAAATTTGCTAAAGGAATTTTGTCAGACTGTGAGCACCCACTCTACGCGCAGCGCCAACCTTGTGTCTCCTCAGGTAAAACAAGAAGTCTTTTCAGATGACTTTATGCACGTACGTCTAAGTATAAAAATTCCACCATACCATATTTGGCACGTACTTTATATGATGAAAATAGTGTCAGGCATGAACTAACTAACCTTCTTTGCACTACTAAATAAACCATGTCCTCCACCCTTACAGGATGAGACATTATTGTTCCTTTCGATTTTTTGTTTACTTTTTTTATGTGTGAACATACCTGTTAATTTTGTATTTCCCCTCACCATACTACATCAACAGAATATTAGATTCAACAATCTATAGTAACATGCTAAAATTTCCAAACTGAATCGACGATACTGTTTGAAACAAACTAACTGTTATTATTATTTTTAATATTATTTTAATAATCTCAACTCGTGCTTCGAATATTTTTGACTTTATATCGTAAACGTGGACAAATTCTTCTGGTTAATTTTGTTTTAATTTTATGTATATTTTAAGTAAATCAGATGCAATATTGTGCCAAAATGCTGAGAATTCCATTCTGTATTATAAGAACTCTTTTTGGAATAAAGCAAATTATTATTATTAAAAACTAGTTTTTTCGTCCCAGTTTGGGACTCTTCGTCAGTATGCACTCATGACCCCACAGAGGATCAAACTAAGGCTCTACACCTTGTAACATGAAGCTCCATAGGTGCATACAACCAGGGTGTCAAACTATTATGACACAGCTTTGCAGCACTTTTTGGTTATCAATGCCTCACTAAGTGATGTCACAATTAATTATAATTTATAGTTGTTAAGAATTTTTCGGCATTATAAGATTTTGAAGTAGCCTAATAAAGTCTAGTGTTTGCATTCACTTTACCTTTCTTAATGTTCTTAACTATTCAAATACTCTTTCTTACACACCAACATTTATCGGTGTGACCAGAAACACTTACCATCTTGGTCACACGACATTAGCACGATTCCTAAACTTGACTCACAGACCAGTACAGAGTAAAATTGATAAAAATATGCCCTGATTTACCGCAAACATTTGATTGTCTACATTCACAGTTTCCACATATGAACAACGAATTTCCATTCACCTAACTAGTCTAATTAAGGTATACCCTGTCCTGTTGAAGACCGATATTTGTGACCGTACAACTTTAAAAGCGCAGATATTCACACCTGACAATAGTTTCTTCACCTAAGCTGATATTGAAATGAAAGGCTTACACTCCGAAACGGTGGAATAAAATGTTGAGTTTTTGACCTATTCTAAATTTCCAGACAAGTTGAAGCCTTTCAATCTCATATAGAAAGCAACATAATATTGTCGTTTGTATTATTTTTAAAATGCTTTAATTACACAAAAATATTTTTAAAAAAATTTCCATAATAGACAAAGATATCACTCATAGAAATAGAAGAAGAAAGGAAGAAAAATAACACCAATAAAAAAATTGACACTTCATAAAGAACAGAAGTGCGTGGTATTTTTGCGTGCACGCACGCACGCATGTGTACACAATAGGGGTGCACACACTCCTCACTGACTGGTACATAGAAATAGACAATAGAAAAAAAATTCACAAAAAAATAACAAAAAATTAAAAAGGCGCCTAGTAATAAGTAATAGTTGTAGTCATGGGAAGCCATAAAATCACTGGGTAAATATATATGAACAGTAGTCATATAATTGTCATAATAACACTAATCATAGTCATAGTTATAATAAAGATAAGCAAAATAATAATGCATTCTTTGTGCGTATACATCCGTACAGAAAATATATGAGATCGTTGTTGATTAGTAGAAAATGATAAACGAGGTCACTAAGTAACAATAATGATAAGAATAAGGAGAAGAGATGGCGAGTTATCATATACACGAACACACCCGCACACACACACACACACATTACACAGTAGAACTCCTCCATTCTTTCCCATAAAAAAATTATCGTACATTAAAAACGTAATAGTTAAAAATCAATTTAAAAAAATGAATTCGTCATTGATTGAGCATATGTGTATATTGAAGTAGAATGTATTATTGCATTTGAAGGGAAATTAATAGTGCTCAAATATATGCGCACTGCACTGATTACACAAACAACTGTTGAATTTTGTTTAAAGTCACATACATACATACATACATGCACACACACATAAAACATGCAGGAAGACAATTATCCCTGAGGTAGATGATATGTGAGTGTGACAATCAATCAATCATCCGTCGTCTTGGCCCTCTTCCTTCCTTCTCCCACCTTCTCAAATGATCCCACTCATCATACATATATATATATATACATTGAAAAATTAATGAATAACTATTTCAATTGTCAGCCAGTTAAAAGCAATCATTTGTTGAATTTAAACCAGAAGAATACAGAAATTCTTTAAGACAATTTGATATTGGTGATTTAGTTAATTTATACCATGAGTTTAAATTATGCGTAATTTTGGCGGCAAGTTCACGAAGTGTAGATAATATCATAATTAAATGAGCACAACGTGTTTGTGACCCCTGACTTTCACAATAACGACGTAATAGTTCAGCCCATAGATTTTGTGTACGATTGACAAAATCAATATCCAATAAGTTGGAACGTTCTAAATAACACAAGAGTGTTTGTGATTAGAGTGAAGTGTAAGTAAAATATGCATAAGTTTACAGTTAAGTTTTAAAACAAATTTACTTAGATACATATAAACCAATGTATAACTACTACTACAGGCATATTTATAAGTAGTTATTGCATTACGTATCAATATAATTTCAATATGGAACTAGTTCCTAAGGTTTCGCTCATTAAGGACTACAGATCGATGGTTTCATCCACTCCACCCAATAAAAACTTCCCAATTGACGAGAAACCCTGAACTTAGGCATTCATAGGCAAGGAATGTCTATAACTTTGGGATAATTAAATTTCTCAACACACAAGTGAAAATTGAGACAATCACTCCCGAAATCAGTTATTTCGTCATACAGTTGTGAAGGCCATGACTGACACCGTCCTCCTGAGGAGAGGGGGGGGGGAAATGAACAATGTAAACGACTAGATGATCGATTTAGCTGTGTAGTGTGATCACGCGATTTCTCGTGCAGCACAGATTGCGAGGAGTCAGTCAGTGGGCAATCTTGCTCAGTTTTGCATACCTGTTTGATGGAACTTTCGCTAGCAGGTTTATAACACAAATGATAACAACAAACACTCTATGTTTTATAGTCCAAGCCATTTTATCTGTATGACATAAGATTCTAAACCATATTTAAGTGTTGGTTTGTAGGGAATTGGTTGGTTACAGAATTTAATCATGAGCTGACGTTGGTTAGAGAACCATTGGAAAACCCAACAGGGAGTACTGGACAGCTGCTGTTTCATCCTAGTTCGGGACGCCTCATCAGTACGCACCCAGGACCTTCTGGTTACAAGGTGAGCTCGTATACCATTAAGGCCCTGGGACCTGATCCAATGGCCAGCCCATGAATTCTAACTTCTGCCAATTCATGACATAGCGCGACCCCTAGCCAATGTCTTCGGCAAGTGTTTGTCCTCACACCCGCTCTCCTGAACCCTACTGGTCACGACTTTTCACTAGAACAATATTTTATAGGGTTATGATTTCGGCTTTTAGAACTAGAATATTACCGAAATCAAACTGTCTTGGAAAGTGGGGTGTCTGTATTATCAAAACAGTATATTTCTAAAAATATCTTTTCAACACAAGTTTTCATAGCAGAACTCACCTGGAGTAAAGAGTATCACACCAATAAACGGTCCAAATTCAGTATTTGTCAGATGTAAACGCTGAAGTCTTGCAGCAAACTGGAAAACACTTTGAGCTGTTATACTATCACTAGTCATATGTAAACAATCTAAAGATGAATCTGTAACTACAGCATTCGGAAACCATGGACTGAATAAACAATTCAACTGGTGATTTATCCTTGTGTTAGACGAAGAATCCGTAGGCACATTACACCGATTTTCACGACACAACATTAATATCTAAATAACAAGGCAAGAAGAAAGTTATTTAAAATGATGAAGTGGAAATCTCTATCTAAGATATGCATGTGGAATTCGGAAAAAAGAGAAAATGCAAAACAGTAGAGTTATGCAAAAGTTCACAAACACATAACAAACAGTAAGTCACTCTCTCATAATATTTGTCGGCCTATCTTGGAAAGTTAACAAGTTAAACCTCCACACTAAACGATATCATACAACAAATGCAATATTTCAGCTGAAACTTCAAGCGACCTAGTTTAGTCTTATAGTTGACGTTTACCAAAGGCACACGATCAGTGATTGGTTAAAGAATATAAACTGTATAGATATAAATAGTTGTTTGATCACTTGGAAATATACCTTGGGCTTCCGTGTCTTGTTTTCTGCTGTTTCAAGGTAACATGAACTTATGCACTACTACTGATGAGATATTTACGCCACAGATAAATATCTGTGGAAAGAAGAGTTCAACATTTACGCCTAATAAAAGATGCTTAATTTGAGAAACGAGGTCATGTGAAGAGGAGATGAAAGCATTAGGGCAGACGTGGAGCCAGGTGAAAAAGTTGGCAGACAACCGAATGCAATGGAGATGTGCGGCTGAAGCGATATGTTCCTCTAGGAACTAAAGCAAGCAATAATGATAATAATAATAAATTTGCGACACTCCGATTGCACTACATATATGAGTACATTAATAATTTATGGTTCATTAGCTTAATAATTCGGTTTATTTACACACACCCTAGTTATACTTAATTGCTGTTCGACATTTTATCTCCAGTGAATTAAAGTATGTTAGAATTGTAATAAGACTTAACTTTCACTACCCAGGTTGTAGGATGTTGAAAAGATTTAGGAGCCTCATTCTGCGCTCCACGTGTTGTTATTAATTTCCTCAAATTCAACGAGCGGAGTTTGTGCTGCATGAAGTAACTGTTGCGTTTCATACGTATATGCTATGCGAGGACAGAAGTCTAATAATAATTACGTGAGTATTGGCTTGTCACGTTTAGTTTCTATTACTGTCAAAATAAGCAACACTTTCCGTCAGGAATTACAAAAAAGTCATAAAAATCTGGTAATATGATCGTCTTAGTAAAAAAAAAAGACGTCGAGCTCTAAATGCATACATAACACGATGACAAAAAAAATTTCAATATGAAATGCACACAAAAAATATAAAGGTAAAGCGCTTACAGCAAGTTCAGGCAAGGAATCCCTTAATAGAATAGCTTGATCATGCTGTGAAAGTCGTGTAAACTGTTCCAAATGACAGGCGAATTCATGTGTGAATTTAAGCTGGGCAGGACAGAATATCTCATCCACAGTGAGCAATTTAACTGACTCACCTAATGTGTTTGAGGTTTGCTAAACAAAGGATATTCAGAAAAGAAGAAACATAAGCAATATAGACAAGTAAATATAACGTAAATCAGTAAAAAAAAATTAACATGAGTAATTTTCTCCCTTCACGTTCCCCCCAGTGGAACTCCAAGCTAGTGACTTGAAGTTTCCGTAGCAGTGTTTATTTTTACAGGATGGGGTTGCTAGCCTCATGCCTAACCTTTCCTCTTTACCAGAATTATTTCTGGCTTAGCGAGGTGAAGGAATGCGTCAGCCGGGAGCGAAACTCGGACCATGTGCATGGTCGGCGAGCGTCCTAACCGCTATGCCACCGACGCATACAAACATGAGTAATTAATACATAAAAACACGAAAGCTTATCGTGTGCGTATATAAGTATAACAGGACAACGATAATTTAAGCAAGTAGGCTTCCACACTCGTTCAGTTATATAGTTCAGCAACTTAGAGTCAACGATTCACACCCGTCCCTATCCTACGAAAATTTATACATATATAAACAGAAGTTATGAAGCATCGTCTCTAGATATTAGCAAACCACACCATAGTCAATGATTCGGTTTTTCTTAAGATTACATCCGGTAGGATATTGTGCAAACCAAACAAACAAAATACTACTTAGCACTGACTCCTACTTTCATTCCAAATGTCTGGCTGGTTAAAGAACTTGGAATCGTAGCATGAAGGTCCCGGATTTGATATCTGGTGAGTTTGTAGGTGTGTACTGATGAAGAGTCCCAAGCTAGGATGAAACAGCTGTCCAGTACTCCCTGGTTTTCAATACTTCTCTAGAAAACCAAATCGTTTCACACTAATTCTTGCATATTCATTAAAAATCAGCCTGTTGTGTATATGAACAGACCAGTAAACCCGGAAAACTGGGACGTTCTGGATGACTTGAATAAAACACTAACACTTGCTGAATAATTTACCAATTATAAAACTACCCAGTGATGGGGAGAATATTTAATGAATTGAATGTCATTATTACCATGTATGATTTCATTTCACCTCAACATTCGTTAACCCAATACGATTAATATTAGTATATTAATATATAATATAATATACCTTTATAGGAGATAAATGCCTAGACAGAGATCCAGATAAAGAGTAGTGATCAGCTTTATATATACTCCAATTATTTGTTTGATATTTTATAGCTTGTTCTTGACAATACTTTAAAAAGTTATCAAATTTATCCAATGTCAATTGATCTTCTTTAGTTAAATAATTATTATTACTAAACACCACAATCTGTGAAGGTATATTAGGCGGTAAAGATTGTAAACTAGTTGTTAATTTCATTTGCACATCATAAGGATTTAGTGTGATTGTGTTTAAATGCATTTTGGATGCAGTTGGCAACACACTTGTAGAATTCATCAATGATGCTGAATATGTTTTGGTTACAGATTTACATGAAGTGCCTGAATTAGATGTGGTCGTAGTAACTGGGAATGCAGAATTAGACGGTAAGCGTTTTTTACCATGACGTCTTTTGCGAACAGCTACAGAAAGAAAAAAAAGAAGAGAAGAATAAATCAAATGAATCATTAAATGCCAAAATTAAGCTGGAATGGTAACTATAACAATACATCATCAAACGAAGGTATATGTAAAAAAAACTATGCTAGAATTCAGCCTCCACTAGAAGTACTGCATATCCATTCACCTCTTTGTTGTTAGGGTGGAGGAGGAGGCTTAAAAAGTCAGTGAAATATATGTGGAAGAAAGATTTGCAGACATATTAAGCAACTATAAACAATTACCACTCCGGTGTTATAATAATGCAACAGTATAAAGATTTCCTTTCAGCTATCTAGGTATGCCACAAACTGAGCATTGAAGGCAGTCAGGAGGTAGAGAAAACTCAAGAATCAAAGACGCAGCACAAAAGAAGATACGAAAATATAGTTCATTTTTCAATAAAAAATCTAGTATGAGATTTTATCATGGGTGATATCAGTTAGAGAACCACTCGAAAACATGGGAGTTCTGGATAGCTGTCTTGTCAAAGTTTGAGAGAGCAACAGAGACCCACCGGGGCTAGAACGCAGCACCTTCCAGTTACAGGGCGAGCCCGTAAACCGTTAAGCCTTTGGACACCATACAATGACCCATGAATTCCAACTTCTGCTAATTTACGACAAAGCGCGATCACTAGCAAATGTCACCAGCGAACATCTACAAGCTCGCCTTGTAACTGGAAGGCGCTGGGTTCGAATCCAGGTGAATGTGTACTGATGAAGAGTCCCAAATGGGAATGAAACAGCTTTCTAATCGATGTCAGCTCACGATGAAGTCCGGTAACCAGTCAAATTGAATCCCTCGGAACCAAAACTTGAATATCTAGTATATTTTACAAGACTGACTTGTAATGCTTAAGTAACCATGAAAAACAGAAATAAAATTCATGTTTGTTAGATTTCCAGGAATAGTCCGAGACAATCCAGCTGGGGGACTGATTAGGCCGAAATATCTTCGTTTTGACATCGTACAGGATTGAGCTTACAAACACACACACACACACCACAAACTACTCTGTCAGCAAGCACAAAGGAAATAATTTGTGCACTCCCTATTAATTTTCAATAATTCTTCAACAAGTGTTAACTCATAATGAAAACTCCTGTTGCATTATTCAATGCAGTAAATTGAATGTTCAATTTAATATTACCCTGATTCGCCCTTTTCCCAATTTTTGTTTGACTATGGCTTGCGGTAAAATCCCCTCTTAGTAAGAACACATAAAATATTGGGATCCTGATACATTCATCTTGTGTTTCAAATACAAGGAATAGTACATCTTGGATCTGCTACGAGTCACCATGAGAAAAAATATATTTGAGAACAAGTTTACTTTACTAAAAAGCCTACATTCTTCGTTGAAAATGTGAATTCCTTTTTTTAAGAGTTTTATTAATCCGGATCAGACAGTAATCTTCACAAGGGAGTATAGATGTACGACATATCATACTACAAATACACCTTAAAATACACTAATTTGCAATTGATTCGTCATGTTGACATTGTGAGAGATTTGATAAAGCGATTGACTACAGTTTAACGATAAGCACTGTAGGTACATGATTTGCACACAATGCTGAAATCACACGATCAACTCAAGATAAATTATATATATATATATATATATATATATATATATATATATATATATATATATATATATATATATATATATATATTACAAAACACCGTAGAAAGTATTAGAAAACTGGTCTATCTCGTATAGATGAGTCATCCTTTGAACAGTCAATTTTATAAGATATAGTGCGAGAAGATTGATTAAGTGTAATCATTATCAAGAACCCACCACCACCACAAACTCGCAAACAAACAAATATGTATGATTTAATGTCATGCTCAGATAAGCCGATAAGAAAAATGATTCTTAAAGTGACAGATAACCACAAAAACTTATTTAAAATGAAAAACGAATGAATCAGATACTCACATAAGCATTCGTACGCATAACAAAGAGAGTATAAAACTGAATCATCAGAGCACCTTTAACGGTTTTCATGTATTATTATTAACTGACTCAAGAGAATTAAAATAGATGGTTGAGAGAGAGAATATAAATAACTTCACACAAAGCTACCAATACCGCCAGTAGATTATTTAATGCACGGATGGTCAAGGTCTAAAGAGTGAGCATATCAATGTTTGCTCTTAAGCCCATCTCGAAAATTTTATTTTATTTTTTCATTTTTGATTACAGCTTGATTCCACACTGTATTTTTGGTACAAGTATGGAATTTTCAGCATGCGATATCGGTGGCCCAAATCTTGCAGGCCGACCATAGATATCAGATGTTCGTCGGCAGGGGATCGAACCTCGGACCATGTGCATGGTCGGCGAGAGTCCTAACCAATGTGCCACCGACGCACAGAAGAATGTTGCATTATAGCTCCTACATTCAACCCATTATGGCATTACTTTGGTCTAAGGAATACTTTGTGATGCAAATAAAATCTAAAACAAAACAGGTTTGCTCTCTGGTATCCTGAATTAAAAATACACTTTTGCTTCTTAACGCTTATCAATTACAGGTGAAAATAAAGTATTCAAAATGTTTACAAAAACTTATGTATTGAAATCTAGATAATCAATAATTTAAAAGTGATAACAACGTACCATCTTTTGACATCCCAACAGCGATACACTTAACTAGTCGACATTGCTGACACTTATTCCGTAATGTTTTATTGACCTCGCAAGTACCGTCTCTAGAACAAGTATATGATTGATTACCTTGTATAGCTCGTCGAAAAAAGCCCTGAATAAATGATAATAATACAGAAAGACTCTATGAAAAACCGACTATAAACTAATACTTAAAAAAAACACGCTCAGATGAAATTTAGATGGAAACTAAGTAATTATATCAACTTGAAAGTGTAAACAAGGTTCTGGATCACTTTTAATGCTGTGAAGCCTCGTTACATACATTTCCTTCTCAAGTCTGTCTGCTTTCGACATAGAACTTTACACCGATGTGCAGAAGTTCAACTCGCCACACTCCATGTAGCACAAAAGGTAAGAGAGGAAAGTAGAAGAAATGCATAACAGAGTAGACAGGGACATGAGACAAAGAAATAGTAATAACGAAGAACGATATAGTTTCATTGGAAACCAGAAGTCATAAGGAGTGGACGCATCTGCGCCAGCCATTCAGAATGATTTTGAGCCACATCACCGACTGTTTCTAGTCATTGGTTTTCAGCGTCCTGAGGACACCGACAAGTCACGAAGTCTACACCTTACTACGTGGATGGCTTGCTTAAACTAACTGTTGTGGATTTCATTGACTGGTGAAGCCATGTTTTGGTTTGACCGCCGCCAGCTCTTTTCCAGCCTGAACCTATGTCAGCCAGCTAACATTTCCCGTCGAGGAAGGCGATGACTAGGCATGCGTAACACATGTCCTAACCATCTCAGTCGATGTAACTTCACAGACTCATCGATTGATTTCCCCCTCCTTACCTAGCACTGGACCGATGCCTAACCTCAATATTGCTCATTCTATTATACCACTACCTAACACGGGAGATAGAACGCAGGCACCTATGATCAAAGACAGCTAATCTTTTCATATCTTCCACTCTGAATGGCCAAGCCTCACAGCTAACCAAAAAGGAAGACGGATCGGACTGCTGGGCAGTACACCCGCCCTTTGGTCGATAGCCGGATATCACGTCTCAAGTCATCGTTGGTGGAGAGTAGAATGTTAAAGGTTGATAAATAACGCTGACCAAGAGATGTTTCCTTAAGGCTTATTAGTTTCGCTTAGATTTTACATTCAACTCACACTGTTATGCTTAAACGGAGCCGATAAAAAAGCTCATCTAGTAAATATCTAAACCAGTCTAGCGAACTTGAACTGAGAATAACCTTATATCAAGAAGCAATCCCTTTATTTGAAATAAATGGTGTTATAGATAATCTAGGTGTGCATAAACTGAATATAACTTTTGTACATGATACCGAAAGTTATGCGGGAATAGAACGAAGAAAAGCGTATAAATCTTTAAAAAAAGATGACTTTAAAAATACCTTGCAGCCTTCACATGTTATAACTCCATAGTGAAATCCTGAAGATTTGTCACCACAAACTACACATAACTTGATCACAGCGTCAGAGGATACTGATGATTTAGATGTTTGATCTTCTGTAACCAGAGATGTTTCTAGAATACAATCGCTGCTTTGATCACGTTCAAGATTTTCCAGTGTGGTGGTTTCATCGTCTGAACATGGTGAATAGATTTCTAAGTAAGCTGAAGGTGGTGAACTTGTTTTTGCAGATGAACAAAACGACATATCCATAACCGAAGAGCTGTCAGAATTAGGTGTATAGGCATCCTTCTTCTCAGAGGTGTAAACTAAAGACTGGAAGGGATAAGTGTTATGACAGCTAGATGTTGAGATTTGGGGATTGACAATGGCCCCCGGAATTGAAAATGCTGGTTTGGGTGTGGCTTCTCTTGATATGTTGCAGAGCGGAGTTAATTCCGTATTGCATGGTCTGGTTCTGTGGACGTCGTGTGGATGTGGAAGATTTTTGGAGCATGATGATTCAGTAACGAAGCATAAGTCAGGATAAGACAAGTTTACTGGATTGTGAGACAATTGTGTAGGTGAAGAAATAGGAACCAGTGACGAGTGATTAGGACTATTGCAACCAGTAGAATTACTGTAACTCAACATAATTGGAGGTAAGACATGTTCAGACTGATTAGCAGGATGAGATCCATTACAATGTTCCGGCAAATATCCAGTTAACTTCTTTAGTGACTTACAATGCTTGACAGTGGGAAGCTGTGCATTACCACTTATATAAACAGGATTGTCATCAAGGACCGAGTCTTCATGAGAAATGTTACACTCGTTTAGAGGATTGGATGGATCTGAGTTTCAAGAAAAAAATATATAGTAAACAGGAGTACAGAGACATCACATAAAAATATCACAACTGACCCTTAGCTCACTTTTACATGTTGACAAAAGAAATCAGGAGGAAAGTCAAACCTTATACCAGAGAATTTATGCATTGGGGATTAGTTTTTTCTAAGGTACAACGCATAAGATATGGAAACCTATCACCATAAATTGATTCTTCAGTTGCTGCGGGGTACTTTACCTGATAAGGAAGTCACTCATTGACCAGGACTGAATTAGCTGTGTACCGGTTCTATGAGTCACACATAGAGTGTAGGCTCAGGTTGAAGCAGGAGGAGACAGATTCGATATCTGGATCCACTGATTGAAAGTTAACTGTCGAAAACAATGAACTACATTGCCACTCCTTTTCCGTTATAATGTGAAAACCCACTGGCTTCTGAGTTCCTATGGATAGAGGACTTAGGCTGCCTATTGAATTAGTTTATTAGTAAGATCTAGAAAAATGGAATTTTGGTTTCGCTTCATGTACTTAGTATATCTTTAAAAAGTTATTTTAATGTTTAGTAAAGCTAAAGTTGGCAAGACAATGATGCATTCAATATTAAATATGGACACAAAAATAGTTGTATATATTCTACCATAAGATAGTCCCACACATCTCAAGATTAAAAGGTAACATATACACTTTAAGGTGAACTCCATTACCGTGTGCTATACGAGAAATACTTGCAAATTCCCGCATACACAATCTAATTCGTTTTTATGAAACCTATTATACATGTCCTAGGAGGTTTATTTAGTTTATGTGCTCTAAGACAACTAGATGCTTTTTGAGAGGTAAATGAAGTCGTCTCCACAAGTAGATAGGCAATAATGTTAATTAGTAATAGATTCTTTGCACGGCTGCTTGAGTTTAAATGTAGTATACCATTCATTGGCATACCATTTACAATAGTTACATTTCCAAATCGGCAGAGTTGTATGGAACCAGTTCGATGCCGATCAACAGGAATCAACCTCTTCGAAAGTGCACATCTCCACTTTTCAGCATATCGTGAACGTCTAAATTATTGTAAAGCCGTAAACTTGTAATCACCCAGAATGCCTCAGAGTGTAGTAAGTGTGACAAATCATGATTCAACAAAAAAGAGAAATTTTGAAAATGAATTAATAACACACAAATGAATGACTTACTTGAATGAATTGCGTAATTCGTTTCCTCAGCATCCATCACGGAATAATAATGTAACAATTTCTCACCTCCAGAATCACTATTGGATATACTCTGACACACAGATAATTGCGTATCGTTAGGTAATTGTTTATCATAAAAGCTCGATTTATCAAGGGAACAGTTCTCTGTGTCATCGTTATCGAAATTATGTTCAGGATTTTGATCGCCAACAATGGCAACAAATACTCGATCTAAATCTAATCCACCATCCTCTAAATCTGTATGATCCATAGGAAGTGAATGAGTAAAATCATTTACTACAGATTTATTGGGTTGGAGAGACATGTTAAAATTTAGGGAATCAATAGGTTCCAGAGAAGAGGCAGAATATGACTGGATATGTTTAGTTGAATCAGTAAAATCATTAGGCATATCCTTAGTGCCTTCTTCAGATTTCAAAGGATACGATGGACTGTTGCTGTAAAATTCATTGTTAATACAAATGTTTTCAGAAATAGGATCAGATGTTTTACTATACTGTTTAATGGGAGAATAGTTTGATAAACTGTTAGCTTTATCTAAAAACGAGCCAACGCCTGGTAGAGTATTGCGAAATGCTGTCGACTGGCATGTTGAGGTAGACGGGTGAATCTCAGTACCGGAGCTAGTGTAAGATGAAGGACTTTGGCAAATAAGATTTAAATTCTTTGCAGGACACTGGCTCATCTGATATGTGGACTTAGGAAATCGACATACTTTTTTGCTATGAAACAAAAGCCAAATAATGGGATTCACCAGTTTTGCGGTCCTAGATGAAGACAATGCAATATGAAATTAGGTAATTTAAACAAAGACTACACAATATTTGTTTCTATACAACACATGTTCACATTGCTGATGCCAACCAGTATTCATCTACAAATTTATATCATATTACAGACATCAAAACTCATCTATCATCTACGTTATGGGTTACATCTACTTCGTAATTCAATAACTAGATTACTGGCTGGCTGACCGTTAAAACTACTTTTAACTCTGTTAACTTCAATTATTACAACATAAAATTTAGCTGAAAAACAGTGATTTTCCTAAAGACAGTAAGTCAGTGCTACATATGTTAACGGTACTGGGATGAGAAAAGATGATGTATTGTATTTTTGAGCAAAGATGGAGAGGCATAAAGAAATGAGCCAAAAAATGGAATGCTGTAAAGAGATTGTGAAACAAGAATATGCATAGCACACGACTGTATATTATTTCGTATTGAAGGTATATCAAAACTATTATCCTAATTAATATACAATCACTTTCACATATTTTTCACGGTTCATCAACATCTTCAGTCGAGTGTTCATATATGATAAACGGTGGAGCACAGATAATATGTCACTAGATTGAATCAAGTTGTTCAGTTCAATATTCACCGTTTTTTAATTCATAAATTTCTTTAATTATTACACAGATAACAAATGACGTATAACGCATTTTCGGTTTTTTCCACTTAAGAAAGCCTAAGAGAATTAGTCACTTATCGACTGTGCAAATATAGTCGGAGAATTGAGCAGATGTTCACGGCTTTCATAAAAAGACCTCTTAAGTCCTAAAAAACTACAATAAAAAGTAAGGGGAGTACTACAACAGGATCAAATGAACAAGCTAATGAAGAAAGATAATTTTCTCATTATCTGCACAAGCATTTACAAAAAGAATAAACTAAAGAAAGAGATAGGATTATGCGTGGCAAGAGAACACATCAAACCAACAGCATCACCATACAATTTGGCATGACTGCACTTCGTTACCTGAACCATTAAATACCATACTACCTTTTATCCGATAGTGACATCGTGAACGGATCGTTCACATGTAGCTATCCTAGGTATAGAAATTATTAGAATCAAATTAGAGAAAACGCATCGAGGTAACGTCAACAACTTAATGACTTAATGTCATAGGCAAGTGGCTGCAACGAAACTTTATGATGCTCACATAGATGGGAGGCACGGAACACAACACAAACGCAAAACGTTGCATGGTAACACGATGTAGCAAAAAGTGACGACTTCAAAAGATCAAAACTTTTAAGTATAAATTCAGGCATGAATAAAGCGAGACAAACAAACACTTAAGCACACAACCTAGAATTGCTCAACTGTAACATAGTATCGAAATATATCGAGGGGAGAAATAAATGGAAATGTTACCACAAACACCAGTACACAATGAGAAAAAGAAGGGAAACCGACGTGGTGAGCAAAGTTGAAATGAAAATCTGAGTCACCGGAGCATTCGAACCAGTGGTCTGCGAATTGCCAGTCCAGTGACCTGCGAGCTGAGGAACGAAACCCAACTGTTAATCAGGTCACCATTCTACTGGTTTTCGCCTTACCTTCAATTATCACCCATTACATTGGGTCGTCCACGAGTGACATGGAGGAGATCATGAGATGAGGAAATGAGAGATTGTGGACAATCGTGGACCCGGGTGAAGTAGAAAGAACCAAAGTGGAAATGTGTTGGTGAAGCCCTATGTTCCACTCGGAACCCAAGGGAATAATAAACAAGTCAGACATTACATGGAATAACAGTTTGTCAACCCGACAATCTGACATTAAAATATAATTTTAGAGGACAAAGTATGACAGCATTTTCATCATAAAATTCATCATGAGCTACATTACTAACTTCCCCATTATCGGTTTTGGTTTTATCGTCAACTGTATACAGAATGTCCAAAAATTTCGACATGAATGTGTTTAGACATCAGTAATTGAATTTGTGAGATACCTTAAATGTTTTCAACCCGACCTACACCCACACCTATCAATGAACTTTAGAGTGGTCGACGGTTACTCATATTTCATCCACCTTAATCAATAAAACATTATTTAAGTTCGTTTGAGCTCCTGAATGAATCTCCAACGTACGACTTTCAGAAATCTGTAATCGTTCAATTTTTCACACTTCATACAAGTAAGCGGGGATGGAGAGAAAACAAAAAGTATGTAATAGACGAAAATGCATAAGAGGAATAATAATTGGGAGATTAAAGAAAACTTAATGAAAGTACAAGACTACAAAAAGTTAATCTATCGCTCCACTGCAAACGATTTTAAGCCGTCACCAACTGCCTCCAGTCGTAGGATATTAGCGTTTCGAGGATCCCAGAGAAACAGCTCGAACCTATCTACGTGGTTCAAAATAACACGCAAAAGCTTCATGGATTGATGTTAGATTTTGATTTGATATTTTTCTAAATTAAGTGGATGTCATTTGTCATTGCCTGACCAGGAAGGTGATGGTTTGGTATGTGCAATACAGGCTGCAGCCATTTCAGTCAATACAACCTGACAGCCTTATTCACTTTCTCCCTACCTAACACTCGACGTCTAACCTCAATACCCACTACACTGTAATACTTAACACGAATCAGACCCGGGAGAGATACAATCACAGACGTCCTTCACTTTCATCAGCCGTATCCGAGATTGGAGAGATGGAGCCTTACATCTACACGTAAATTTTGTCTTTAAGCGCGGTTTCATTACTTATGAGTGATGACTACTCTTTACTACCGCGTCAACTTGACCGAGGCAATCTAAACACTGGACCTGCTTGTATCTGAACTCAAAAACAGTATGAACATGGTACGCAGTTAGGTAGTAGGATATTACATTGAGCTACAGAACATTTCCTTTTTAATAAGTGGTCAGGTATCTCGTAGGTAGAACAAGAAGCACGAACTGATAAAATACTGCTGGTATCTCAGGGTTTGGTTAATCTGATTTACCCTGCCGTCACATATTCTGTTTCTAAGCTTCCGTTAGGTGTCGGATGGTTGACTTAATATGGAACAAATGAAGGCTCCATATTTTTAATGAACATGTTAGTAGCAGCTGTAACCAAATACAAAGGTCCACCAAACCGTAAGCTCAAAGCAGTCTGTTTCGTCAAATTAAAATGAGACTAAACATAACCAAAACGCCTAACAGAAAGTGTTATCTGCTTTTCAATATAACCTTCTTTATTTGTTTCCAGGGAATTACAAAATATAGACTTTAAAGTTAGCCGAAATAATGAGTCACAGTTCTACTACAACAAACTTATCAAAGAACCTAAAAATGAGCAAGTACTGAGACAATTTAACCGAACTATTTTCACTAATCTACATATTATCCATGTTTAACTAAAGTATTAATTAACCAACAGCAAGTGACCCAAGACAAAACAAATTAGTAAACCCGAAAGGTTCACCAGTACCAGTTTTTCAAAATAACAGTTGAAATATACTGACTACACTAAGGGAATAATTAGGATATGTGGAACCGAAGTAATATCACTATACTGTCCTCGCTTAAGGCACTGCTCGCGTTAGTGAAGAAAATGAAACCCATGGAACTTATGTTGTTTTTAGACATGGGAGCACTGGACATAACCTTAAAAGCACATACCTAATGGCCGACATATAATAAATTCTTTGTCGTCAACTGTTGTAATACTATTAAATAAGAACAAATCAGTAGATGACGCTGCAAGATTCCATCGACTGCGATGCCTAAGTCGTGTTACACGTGATCAGTCACCATCTTCCTCTGTGAGCAATATTAGCTGATATAGGACTACGCTGGATGATTAATGAATGGTCCTACCAAAATATGACATTGTCTCACGAAATTTATAATTCACGATTTGATAGAGGTCTCGGCTAGTAAAACGGTGTCTTTCAGATGCTAAGATTCAGCGATTAGAAACTCTTTTTGACATAACTGAAAACAATTCACAGTGGCGTAAGTTTATGCAACCCCAGTCATCTTACAGATTCCTTAACATATCAAAATACTGTTATGTTCCAGTCGTTAATCTGTTTATGGAAGGGTTAGCACTGTGATTAAAGATGTAAGAAGTGTTGGACTTTTTAAAATGATTAACATAACCTGTCCAACTAATTTTTTTCATAAGCGACATATGTATTCCCTGGAACCATTTCGCGAGAATACTGTGAATGCTTTGGCAAGCGAAATTGCTAATAGATATCACTATTATACCCAATAATCTTGCACAGTAGTATACTAAATTCAACTATATAAATGACTATAGACCTGAATCCAAATCCTAATACTCAGGCCAATCATTCTTTGATGAAATACTTATTTACAGATATCTGTCAAGCAAAATTAATACAAAAAATTTACTAAAGGTATCATGTAATTCAAAATAAGCCATACCCAATACGAACGATCAAATCAAATACAACACTTTTACCTGCCAGCTTCATGCAGTAAGTCCGAGCATTAGAATAGTTGGAAAAAAAACAGCATGAACCACACAGACATTTGAATAGTAGACAGAACTACAAAGTCGTTAATGTGTAGTCTGACCGTACATTCACTTCTATACAGACAACTACAACTAACCAATCAGACATCAGCCCAGCTCACAACTAAATATTAGTCATCCCCTAGCCTACTGTAATTGGTTTATTTTTTTCCGTTGCCTTTGTTGAAACTTAAACATTTATCAGGTATTCACACCCACTGTCAAGGTAGATTTTGTTGGTCTATTTTATTTCGAAGCAGTAAGCTATCAAGGCCAAAACGGAAAATTTAATGTCTACTTCAATGGAGAAGTGAATACATTTAGAAAGCTGATCGGCTTTTAGCAAATCTACTATACTATTGTGTTTTTGAAATTCTTGAAAAGATAGTCCTAACTGCTTAATTTCAAGATAATGTGTACATTGTGAAATGAATAATTTGACTATAATTTTATTTAAATGATTGCTTACAAAAAAACTTACCATCGTTTGTAAGCAACCAGAACGCAGTTATAATTCATTTACTCGTTTCTAGTTCATCATACATCTGCTGAGTCTTGGAAACTTTTTGGTTTGATTAGTCACGTTTTAAAAAAACTATTGTCGACTTAATTTAATTCAATTTTAGATTTTCCCGTCGATTGACTGAACCGAAGTGCTCGGTCTCAGGCTGATATACCGGCTTCTTGGGTAGATGCTTCGACGATGTCTGGACACGTGACTGCTAGTCACCATCCACTAGTTAACTCCTAATTACATGCCCAGATATCGTCGAAGCATCTGCACAAGAAGCCGACATGTCAACCTGAGACCGAGCACTTCGGTCTAGTCAATCGACGGGAAAATCTAAATTGAACTAAATAATTAATATAACCCGTTGTACAACAGGTGGCTGTCGTGGCCCAATTGATCTGACGGGTAACGCTTTGGCGTTTGAAACAATGGGCACTTGGTTCGAGCTTCGGTGGGGACATCATCACTCACCGGGAATGCAGGTACGTTCAGTTGACGAGTCCCAAAGGGGCGAAGTGTGCGTCCTGGATTCCACTGGTAGTCCCCATCCACCAATTAACTTATTGTCAATTTTGTTTTGGTTTAGTAATGCTTTTACAATAGGGCGATAAAAATAAAACGCTAGACGAGAACACAGTGTTGGTGTACTGAGCACTAACGCCATTAGTCAACTCATGGGCAGATTACTGAAATGAATCAAACTTGTCCGAATTTTGAAAAGATATACTGATTGTTTGGAAAAAAACATTACTTGGTATGTTTGGATTCGACTGCAATACTATCTTCACTGTATGACTTTGAATTCCGTTTCTTCTGAGGCTTCTGTACTTTGATATATATATATATATATATAAAATATATATTATATGTGGGTCATTGATCACTAGACGACAGATATTTAAGTGTGGATTTGAACACAATATTTTATATTCTCAGCAAATTGCTATTTGGGGAACAAAGTTTAAGGCAGGGAAGAACTTGATGATGTATACGTATCACATTATTCCAGAGTATAGTACGGCTATCTGAGATTTCAAACTGAAGCTCAGAGTCAATTATGTTTGTTTTCTATCCTCTTCAACGAATGAATAATGCTGACTGATTTGGAGTTAGACTGAGAGAAGACAAATCCTATCAATTAACTCAGTTTCATCACTTTTTTGAGCAATGTGATTATATTAAGAGTCAGTAATTGTATAGCCTATGTGACACAGTACAAAGACAATCAATCCATTTCTAACATCAAAGCCACAAACATTCACTAACTTAAATCTAGTTACCTTATTTCTTAAGATGTCTATTCGTTCGTTGTGCGTTTGAAAGACTACTCAGTTTTCTGATTTTGCATAGATTACCTACTGTTCATTGAAATGTTGCGTGTCATTGTAAAACTCTTAAAATGTTCAGCGACCTTGGATATTAGATCGCGTTCCTGTTTGTCCAAAGAGAAAATGTTATCAGCTACTCAATATTCAGCACTAAGTTTAGATATACGTCTCAGAGTAGCTGAATCTTTGACTAAATTCTTTCTCAATGAAAACATAATGAAGTGAACTGACAATTTTGTAGTTTTGTAGTTGCCTACATAAAAACATACACATAAAGGTGATAATATATACACAAAACCGAATTTAGATAGGTTTGGATTTTAACATCACTTTACTTATTTTATTTTATATTTTATTATGGCTTGACTCGACACAGTATTTTTGATACGGTATGAAATTTTTAGCATGTGACATTATTATTATTGTTCCCTTGGGTTCCTAGTGGAACATAAGGCTTCAACTGCACGTCACCACTTGCTTCTGTCTTCCTTCTGCTGTACTTTTCACCTGCATCCATATTAGTCCATACTGTCTCAACTCCTCTTCACACGATCTTCTCCATGTCACCCATGCACTGACGTCCCACTCGCCGCTTCCCTATCGACCTGGTTCCACTCGAGCAATCGCCTGACGCGCGCGATGTCATCCAGTGGCCCGGCCTCCTCAGCCACGAGTGTCCAATCCATCTCCACATTCTCCTGCATAGTTGTTGGTTGGCGATTGGTTCTTGTTTTGTTTGTTCCCAATCATAGTTTCTTGTTGGTGGTGATTGTTTCCAGCCCGGCCGGCCATCTGATCTTCAGTATAGAGCGAATACAGTTGTTAATAAAGGTCTGCAACAGGCTGTTGGAAATATTCTTTGTGACCCACCCGCCAAGTTTCTGATCCGTATAGAAGAACTGACTGACTTGACGCTTGTATTGAAAATCCGACTGGATTTTGTTGTTGATGCTGAGTGACGGAGATTTCCAGATTGGTTTCAGTTGGTTGATGAATGTGTTTCTCGCCTACCTTCCTGATTCTCGCTCGATTTGACATCCTCGTCCGTTCCGACTGTCTGTAGTTGAGACATTGCTCCCCAGATAAGTGAATGAAGTCACTAACCTCTTTCAAATCCCTCTCGTTGATGGTGATTGGCGCTGGGTGTTGCTGTTGTTTGGTTGGTTATTTTCATAACCTCCGTCTTGTCTATGTACACCTGGAGACCTATCTTTGCTGCTTCTTCGACCAGTTTGTCGGTTTTCGCTTGTAAGTCTTCGATTTTGTGTGACATCAAACACAAATCATCCGCGAAATCCAGGTCTTCTAGGTTCTTCACGTCGGTCGGTCCAGGATATTCCTGTCTTCTCGTTTCCCACTCACTATCTGGCGCATAATCCAGTCCACCACAATTAGGAATATCATTGGTGATAATAAGTACCCTTGTCTGACTCTTGTGTTTACTTCAAACGCCTCGCTGTGTTTTCCGTTGTGGATGACTTGACATGGGGCGTTGTCGTACAGCTGTTAAATAAGGTTGATGAATATTTGGGGTACGCCATAGTACTCGAGTAGTTTCCAAATTACTTCGTGGTTAACGTTGTCTGTCGAAAGCCTTCTCGAAGTCTATAAAGTTGGGGTAGAGGTTTGATTTCCATTCCATGCTTTGTTCTGTGATAATGATGCGTAGAGTTGCAATTTGGTCAGTACATGATTTGCCTTTCCTGAATCCAGCTTGTTCTGGCCGGAGTTGTGTATCCAGTGCGTTCTTTATTCTCTCCAGGATGATGTGACTCAGGATTTTACTTGGCGTTGACAGGAGCATGATTCCTCGCCAGTTCCTGTAGAGTTCTAACTCGCCCTTCTTTGGTAGTTTCACGAGCGAGCATGTGATATCGGTAGCCAAAATTCAGAAGGTCGACCATTGATATTAAGTGTGCGTCGGCCGGGGATCGAACACCGAACCATGTTCATGGTTGGAGGGCCTCCTAACCTCTGTGCTGTCGACGCTTTATATATTTATGAATTAATTCTTTTCGTTCTTCTCACTAGTCATCACTTCACTAAAGTTTAGTTCTGTGAAAACATAGGTAGTTAAAGGCCCAGTCAGTTACTACTTATAAGTGGACTAAATTACAGCATATAAATTGAGAAAAAGCACTGCTGCATGCCTGTCAGTAATTTTCAAATACTATAGGTTCCTTGTGGAAACTAGCTTTATTAATACCTTGACATGAAGGTCCTTTTGTCAATGAAGATGAAACCATTTTATTTAATTAGTTCCAAGATTGTATTCACCAATTGCTTAAACTGTATACCACTGATTGGATGAGATGACAAAAGTTGCGTATCACTCACACCAGCCAGTAATGCTTGCTAGTCAGATTGAAGTGGTTTAAACATCGCCCATTTAGGAACCAACTCATTAGCGATGTACCCAATTTGATTCAGCCGAGAGAGCCGAATCAGTTCAAACCACCACCGCTTGATTTGAGTGATATAAAACTACTCAACTCAAACAAACAGTGGTATTTATTTTTTTTCAATAATTGGGCTTTCCAAACAAAACTGTGGTGAAATTCCCCATAATCAAATTGTGCAAATTCCTGACTAGTTTGTAAATTGCGAATTTGATTTCACCGAAAATTGCCATTTACCCCTTTAAGGGCAATGATGGTCTAACGTTCATCAGTTTTGTGTTCACATCTAAGTCCATGTGCATGAATTCAAAATGCTACCCAAATAATAACTCAAAATACATGATTTCAGTCAATTATAGGTGTTTCGCATGCTCCAAATTGTACATATATACACACAATATAGTATCAACTGTGAGGATTTAATGTTGTGGTTGTGTAATAGTCATTCCAGATTTCATATTCAAAGCCTGGGTGACACGAGCTCTCAGAAGAAAAATTATGTGGGGATACTTTAACTGGGCTTCAAGAACTAAATAATGTGTTAGAGACAGTAAGTCGACTGGATTCATAAATAAATTTGATGTGGCTATTGTATGCACCGAACTCTATTGTATTAAATTGGATTTCCTTCATATAATGATACCGTCATTAAAAATTTTTTCACTTTGGAAAATATGCTTTGATTGACCTTCAAAGGGAAGAAATGATCTCAAAAAATGACTATGGGTTTCGGTGGAATTTCTGTGAAGTCGGTGTTATGGGGATAGC